ATATTTTAATATATAATTATATTATTATTATACTATAATTAATATATAATAGTATAATTATAATTTAATTATAATTATATTATAATAATATTATTTCTAATATTATATTTATATATATATATGTATATATTAATTAAATATATAAAATAGACCAATGAATATTTTGCAAAATTTTTGTCAAATTAATATATAATTTTGTTTGATGACGTATTAATGAATTTTAAAAAAGTAAAATAGAATAGAATAAAATATAAAATAATAGATCGTGAAATAACGGAGCACGATTTTATTATTATTATTTAATAATCTATATAGAGTATTTCCCGTCATTTTAGGTCACAGTAAAACCTAATCGAACTAACTTTACGGTCATGATCGTAGAAAACGTGTATTGTGTTTCGTGTTTTCTATATGGCATGTAAGCTTTCAAAAGAATAAAGATATGGCATATAAAGGCCAAAGAGAAAGAGAGAGAGAGAGAGAGAGAGAGAGAGAGAGAGAGAGAGAGAGATAGAGAAGAAAATAAACTTACTGGTTCTGTGAGGTAAGACTCCCACAATTCCCTGAGATCGCTGCTTCCCACATCGTAGAATTCCATGATGGCTTGTTATCTTCTTTTTATTCGCTGATCTTTCTTCGATCTGCGTTGTCTATCTTTGTGTTGTCCTCAATCAATCTTTTACATACTTGAATGATCATTTACACCGTCTGGAATCTCAAACACCGGTACACATCCTGGATTTTTTTCTTTTCTTTTAAATGACACAGATACTTCTTTTTTTTCTCTATGGTAGTTGTGTGTTGTATCTGTAAATTAACGAAGAAAAGAAAAAAGATAATTTAAAGATAACGTTTTAAGAATTTAATAAAATATTTTTCATAGGACACACACACATGTACGTACGTGTATGTATTTATATCTTAAAGATAAAAATACGATTTATCTTGAATTTATTTTATCGAACCATGTTTTAAGATATATCGAATGATTAGGAAAAAAGAAATAGAAATTCTTAAATGATTGTTAAGATAACCGTTTGAAAGATAAAAATAAAAAAAAAAGAAAATATCTCTCGTAAAATTGTACGTGATCGTAAAAATATAAATAATGACTGACTGAGCACATAAAATTCAATCATACGGATTAACATTTCATTTATTTTTAATCAATCAGCAATACAACATAACAACATAATCTCAAACATCTACTGTAATATAATTAATTACTAACAAAATGTTAATTAATAAAAATACGAATAAACGTATCAATGTTAATTATGAATTAATTTATGTGACATACTAAAGTGAAAATGAAAGTAAATTTTATTACGAATGATATATTTATTCATGAAGTTATAATATTTTTCAATGATATTTAAAACGATCGTTTTTCTCGTGTTGTATTATAATAACAAGCAATACGTCGAGACAAATCGTAACGCGTTGTAACGAGATCAATGGGTATGTATTTTATGGGTTAAGTACGACACGATGCATGTTCGATCCGTTGAAAAATAAACTAGAGAGAAGAATAATAGAAGAAATAGAGTGGGGAGTGTGTTCACACAACATGGAAAACGTAAAACGAACAGAGAACGGTAGTCTAAGTTTTACAATATATATGAAATTATGTTCTATATATAATATAATATAAATCTAATTAATTTAATAATTAAATAATAAATATAATAAAATTTAATATATATATATATATATTGTTTTATATAAGGATGAATCATATTGTATAAAATTAAAAAAATTATTGTATAAAATTAAAAAAAAAAAAATGAACGAAACAAGAAAGTTCCTTCCTTAAGCTAATAAACTTTAATTGTAAAATAATCTGTACAGGTTGGCAAACAAAAATTAGGTACCTAGGATATTTGGGTACATATTTCATTTATTTCTCCCTAATTTTGTTTATCTATAAACAACCGAAAAAAATAAAAAGTAATTGGGTTAGATACATAAAAAACCTATAATAATCTAGTATCCTTTTTTTCCCTTCTTCGATCTGGCTTAACGGAGATGCGAGCACGACATTTCCTCCCGATAAAACTCGTTTATTATAATCACTGAAGAATGACAAGCGTTCCGTTCCACGTGAGAAACGTTCGTACATATGTACGTTTTACTGGAATATATTTACATATTACATATAGCAAAAAAAAAGCAGAAAAACAATAAAAAACATAATAACCGAACAAACATTCATATACATATTAAAATGAATCAAAAGTTCGTGAATTTATTGAATTGAAACCTTACTTTGAAATTGTATAATGAATTGCATTTTGTAAAATTTACTTCAAAAATATTAAAAACCAAAAAAATGCAAGAGCTTTTGATTCATCCTAATATAAAACAACCCAATCCTTAAATTATTATCTCCAGGAATGTATGCAAATATATAAATAGATTAAATATCGAATGTTTCTTTACGCTTATGTTACCTCCCCCCAAATATAATATTCTCTATGTATAAAGAGAGTGCACTTGTTGAAGCACTCACTACGCGGATAGGTGCGCGTTCATCCGTTCTGAGCAGAGAAAAAGGTCAACGTGCGAGAGCCGTGGACAGTGACCGAGGTGTATGCGCAAGAGAAGACGATTCGTTCTTGGCATATCGACGAGAAACTGAGCTCTCTTATTCTTCTCTGAACTATAACGGTGAACATAAATATATATACCTTCTTCAATAGAACATAATTAAATATTCTATTGATTTTATTTTTCTTAGAAATATCTTTTCTATGATTTATCACGCATAATATATACATATATAACATATCAAGTTAATTTTGATAATCGTAATAACACAAGACGACACATTATTTACTGTTAACACCTTGGTACCGGAACATAACGGACCACCACTACTACGTCTTATCAACATCGTTAAGTTATCTCACGTTGTGATACTTAAAAAAACTTGTATTATATATATATATATATATATATATATATATATATACGAGAAATATAATCGCGTTTCGAATCGGTCCTCTACAATATCATCACATACACATATATATATATATATATACATATGTGGTATACGTGTTCGCACGAGTAACATCAAAGAGAAACATATATATATTCAAAGTAACATCATCAAATTCCCGGCTGGATTTCTGACCAGAGATTGTGAGAGGTGGAAGGAAAAGTAAAAGAGGTGGGAGGTGATAATATGAAAGGGTGGTACGGGCAGATTCGCATCGAACACGATACCACCAGATGGTACATGCATGCATGTTTTAAACGATCTATTCCATCTCTCTCTCACTCTCTTTCTCTCTCTCTCTCTCTCTCTTTTCATCTATCTATCTATCATTCTCTCTTTCTCTCTCTTTTACTCATTTCCAATCTATCTTTTATTCACTCGGATACAGAAATTTCGCGGGTGTGTGCGCGCGTGCGCGCACGTGGGGACACGTGCGGAATAACACACGACAGTCACAGACGGTTACACCACCTTTCACTATTTAACTATTTTTTACTAAATTTTATTATTATTATCTATTATATATATATTTATAACACGTAAAAAGCAAAAAAAAAATGATTTTTCGTGCAACATTTTTTACTCACCGAAAAAAATACTTTGCTTAAGATGTAAAAATCCACTTGTTAAATTTGTTGTGTTGCGTTGTTTTTTTTCTTCTTTTTTTTTTTTAATATCAATATGTTGTACGAATCATCCAGATGGGGAGAAAGAGGAGGAGGAGGTTACGCGAGAGAGAACACACACACGGGGAGGAAAGGTTTGAAGAACGATAAGATGGGAAAGACCGAAGTCGATCGAAAGGACGAAGGCGCCGGTCTGTTTTTCCCCGAGGAGGAGAAGGAGGAGGAGGAGCAGGAGGAGGAGGAGGAGGAGAAGAAGGGGAAGCTGCGAAACTAATAGCGCTTTAGAGGTGAGGTGAAAAGGGTAAGAGAGAAAGGGGGAAAGATAGGAGGCAACAGGAGCCAATCAGGGTGTAGGAGGAAGGGTGGGAGGAACGGGGGTGATGATAACGAATAGTAGAAAGCGGGTGAATTTTCACGTAGAGGAGAGGTTGCGCGAAACACACGGATATATTATGATCGATCGATCCTCGTCGTGCGTGGTGGTGTCGCTCTTCGGAATCGGCGCGCCGCGAATGATCCGTTCCTTCTGGTAAAAGACGGCTCCAATTGGATGCGGAATTTCTACTTAATCTTTTTCTTTCTATCTCTCTCTCCTTCTCCTTCTCTTTAATCTTTATTATCTTCGTTCTCCTCTTATATGTTCCTCTTTTTTAAAACTTGCCTAAAGCAATATATCTATATATATATATGTGTATATGTATATGAATATATGTATATATATATATATACAGGGAAAAAAAGTAAAGTGAAGTTTAAGAAGAAGACACGCGTTTTTAGTTTTTAACCGATGGCGTAGTACTACCACCGTTCCTGAGTAACGTCAAGAGACTAAAACTCTTGCTATGAACGAGAAAGAGGATTGGCAAAGGGGGAGGGTGAGAGGATAAGGGCGAAGAACACGGACGCACCCGCCTCCTCCACGTACTTTGCCGCCGCGAGTGCGCTTCTAAGACCGCGCACGTGCTGCCTGAATCACTGTATCACAACGACTCGAGTTAATCCGACCAATAGCGTACGACCACCTGTTAGATGTTTCCTATGGCGCAACGAGTTCAACTATATCGACCAATAAACGCACGGCTTTTATTTTACTCTTAACAAATCGTTATGGACTTTAAGCAGACTTTCTTTTGTTTTACTTGCTTTTTTCTTTTTAAAATGAGAAATGAAATTCGCGCGGGCGGTATATTTTTTTCTTTTTTTTTTTTACATTGTTAATAATAATATAAATAATATATATAGATCTTTCGAAATTTTTCTATTTCTTTTTCTTTTAATGACACTTTAATTGATAATAAAGTAAGATGTATTTAATAGTAGAATATATTTAGTTCGTCCCGAAAGTTTCTTCTTTTCTTATTTTTTTTTGTTTAAATAATTTTACGCACACAATATTTTTTTTTATGTTGAATAATATACAGTAAAGAAAAAAATAATATAATCTTATTTAATTTTTATTTATAATATTATTAATTTTTTTTTATAATTATTTATAATTAATTTATAATTAATTTATAATTAATATATTATTATAATTAATAAATAAAAAAATAAAAAAAAAACAATTTTGAAATTATTTAATAAAATAACATAAAAAATATTAAGCATACAATATTGTACAACTTATCACGAAGTAAAAGGAAGAAATTTTCAGGACGATCTAATTATTTGTTCATTGTTAATAATAACTTTCTCTAATTCATTTCTCTTGATAATAATATACATTGTAATCTATTTTACGCGATCGATTCATTGTGAAAAACATATATTGCATGCTGGTAAAGAGTCAAGATTAAAGATTTATGCGGGTATTAGTCATTTTGTCGCGTGTTAAATTTTAATGTATGCGGGTATATATATATATATATATATATGTACCATTTATACGGGCGTATCTATTAGAAATTTTGTTAAAATCAATTTTTTTTGTCAACGTGATCGTTACAGATTTATAAATAACAAAAGACGTGCGCTGATTAACGTAAGTCGTTTGTTTACATTGATTCATCAATTATTAATTGTTCTAATTCGAAGCAAAATGATATGAAATATCTTATAAATTTATAAAAGATAAATATTATAGATACATATTTGTTTGTTTTATTTTTTTTATATAAGGATTCTTCTCTATCAAATATATAATATTGAATCATCCCTGTGTTCATAAAATTCATTTGCGAATTATTTATCTTACGTTGAGGTATCGTGTTATCTCAAATGATAATCACTTTATCTTTCTTATCGCAAAAAATGATATCAATTTTCTTAGAAGATACTACATATTTTTGTAAAAAAAATAAAAAGATCAAAAATCTTTCATAATTATTACAATAGTATTCTATTTAAATGAAACTTTTAAAAATCGTTTAAGGAATATTGATGATTACATCAGATGCATTTTTTTCAAATTAACTTTAATTTTCCTCATGATGCAAGATTTTTCTTTTGATACGATCAAATGTGGAAAAAAAAATAAAATACAAAAGAAAAACATAGGACATCGTCAAAGTGAGCAATCAAACTTATATAATGACCTATGAATAGAATAAATTGTAAAATTTTCTGATTATACGTTGCTCAAGAACATTTTTTTTTTATCACGGATATTAAATTTCCCCACTAAGATTTAATTGTATTAGACATTATATTCTAATGTTACATATGTAATAGAATGAAAAGATTTTTCTTTCATGCAGTTAGTTTACTTCATTTTTTTTTGTTGTTGTTCTATACAATCGTTCATATAATTTTTTGTATGCGTACGTGAAATTATTTTTTTTTTTTATTACATGCTCCTTACACATTTACATCGTGCAACTATTGTAACATTCGTACAATTAAAAGAAATGTTACAGTTTATCGATTTCGAAGCTATTCTATTCATCAAGTTTTTTTTTCAAATATGTATATATATATATATGTTTATATATATATATTATTCTTTTATCAGGTACAATACAAGGCTGAACAAACCGTGATTGTGATTTTGTTCCGATTAAAATTGAACGTAAATCTTAATCGTACATACGAAACATGCTTTTGATTTTTTTTGTTTATATAATTTTGGTAATTTTTTTTTTATTAAGCAATACGTTTTCTAAAGATCATGAAATTTACTTAAAGTTACTAAAATCGAATAACATTGCATGCCTAAAATCCTAATTTCGATTGAAATCATTTTCGAAACAGTGCTTGATGCCATCATACTCAATTAAAATATAATATGTATATGTTTTTTTCTGTTGAATAATATAATGAATATTTTTTCAATAATAAAATATATGTATATATATATATATATATATAAATCGTTTTTATAACATATGCATAACATTTTGTTAGGATTATAAAGAATATATGAATAATCTATACCCAGAATTCCCATTGATTATAAAAATATGGGTTTCTAATAAAAATTCAAATGTAATATATAACAATGTAAAAAGTAAAAAATATAAGTAAAATAAAGTATGCATAAAGATTACAAATAATAGATAATCTTGTATAAGATAAAAAAAAAAATTATTTAATTCTCTTTCTTTAAAGCGGATTGTAATAATGCGTTCCGCATCGATATTACCAATTTTTCAAGTTCCTCAACTTTCATTTTTAATATTTTATTATCCTTTTCAAGTTCTAATGCTCTTATTGCCATTTCTGTTTCTTTAGCTTTTTTATTCATTCGTGATTTTCTTGAAGCTTCGTTATTTTTTTCCCTAGATTCTCTGTAATTAAAATGATCTACTACTCGACTATCTGAACTACTGGAATCATCGATAGATAATTTTCGTTTTTCCCGTTTAACGTTTGAATATTTTTTCTTCTCTACTTTGTTAGTGTTTGTTATCGTCCTGGTTCTTTCGGATCTTCGTGATGTAACTGAGAAAGTAGTAGCAGTAGTATCGGACGATGATGTTATCGTTGAAGTTGTTGATCGTGTTTTTCGACGAACTTTATCGACTTCCATATCCACCTTAACCGCTTTCTCAGTATTATTTTGTGAAACTGATGGTAATTGTTCTATGGGCGATCTTGAATTGAATATTGTTGATGTGTCTGTGGATGTGCTACCCCCTCCTGGTGAATATGGTTCATCCTATAAATTAACAACAAATTCATTATTTCACACGATATATTTAATATTTCTTTCTTAATATTATCATTCAAATTTCAAAATATATAAACTCACTTCATAAAGATATGAAAGTAAATCAAATGTTCCTGATCCGCTAGTTTGAACTGTATTCAACATATCCCATGTTTCCGATTGATTATTTTCAGTAGATTCAAATGTATTTTGGCAAGCATCATCCAAATCAAGATCGTCTATACGTTGTTGTGAATGAAATGATGATACATTAACATTAGAAGAAGTGTTCATCTTGCTATTACTAGCACTGGTACATGCTTTGGGTAATTTTAATAATGTATTATTTGATTCCTTATATTCTGCTTCGTCGAGTTGTTTTTTATAGCTAAAAGAAGAGTTTGATGAAGGTAACAAAGGTTGATATTTGTCACCTGGAATCTCTGTTTCATCAAACAAATTCATTTTTAATCTCCCCTTATCTTCGTTTATCCCCTTCGTAGCGTTTTCTGATACCCCCTTTCCCAAATTCGAAACGCTCTTACCCTCGTATTTAGTACCTGAACAAAAGATGAATTGTATTTCAATATTAATAAGACTAATTAAACGAGAAGAGTCATCTAGCTATCATCAACTTACCTGATAGTTTAAAAGGAACCAATTCACCTATAGGAAAATCGCATGGAGTCTGGAATTGATCCATGCACCAACCGCTTAAATCCTGAAAGTTCTCCTCCCACTCGGGGAATGTTGTAACACTGTCTTCTTCCATTAATATGTTTGTTTTGGTTTGTGGAAAAATCCAGGGCTCCTTGAGCAGATCTGATTCCATTGTTGGGCTTAATAAAGGAATAGTTTCCACCTTTGTAAGGGTTACAACTTCTTCCTCCAGTGGCCGCGATCTCACGCCACGAGAAACAGATGATGGCTGCGGCAGACGGCTGCATGGCTTAGGAACCTACAATTTCATTTGTACCATAGAATACTATGAACTTGTAGGAATCCATTAAAAGTGTCTAATCTCCATCCAATACCTCTTTCCATATATAAGACCCAAATGCACCAAGAAAATACCACTTACGTTATTTGCGCCTCCTTCCTCAAATGAAATGTTGCTGGTTGTTTGAGTTTCGAAGATAGGAGGGATTTTTAAAGCCTAAAACAAAATTTATTATATATATTAGGAGAAGTATGATTAATATCAGCTAATGATAAAATTATTATTTAACGTTTATATAATCAGTCTATTATTTTTATCTATCCAGCAAAAAAAAAGAAAAATCATACAATTATTAGCGCAATGCAGTCACTCCGAGATATTAATCATTATAATAATAATAATAATAATAATAATAATAATAATAATAATAATAATATTACAACATAAAGACTCTTAGGGATATCAGAAAATCCTATTTGATTCTTATCAGCAAGTCAAATGAACAATTTCTATGGAATACTTGATTATCAGTGTTATCAAAGAAATTATCAAAAGATTGTTCGTTTTATCGCATTACGATCAATAATATCGACGTGTTTTTCACTACTTTCTAGACAAATATGATAAAATAATAATAATAATAATAATAATGTAAAAAAAACAACGACATAAATGTTAAATGCGTCAATGCACGTATGTTTTGTTCAACGAACACGGTCGATAGGATAGAACGAAGTATAATAAATGTTTTTTCGAACGTAAGAGAAAGATTTTCAAAATAAGAATTTTTCATCGAGAATGTTAATTCATCCTATTAGACAAAAAAAAATAATAAAAAAAATGTTTTTTTTTTTTAAATACGTGGTTATCTAAAGTAAGTAATGTTGTTACGTAATTGAAAGCGCCGACATGTGACTACGCTTTCAAGAGACACACGTTACATCATGTTTCTCTGCCGCCTCAAATCGATAAGCTAAGAGAAAAAGGGGGGAAAAATAAATTTTCCACTGGCTTCAATATAAAAAAAAAAAAAAAGTAACGTGACAAAATAAATAATTGTTCGAGAAAGTTTTTTTCAATTAAATTTTAAACAATTAAAGAATAATAAACTTTTTTTTCGATAGAACGTAGAATGATGTTGTTTTAGTATATTACAATGACGCATCATTGTAGTCCGATCGATTAACGAAAGAAGGTAAGCAAGTACTTAAATAAAGAACTATATATATAGTTATATAGTTAATATATATATGTATAAAAGCCACTACGTCGCAAAAGATCGTTTACTTTCGAGAAGTATCGAAATTATCGAATTAAATGGTAAGATAGATGAATACTACTGTGCGCCGTTATATAACATGTTTTTGCGTAGCTTTAGGAACGTAAGAAAAAAAATGAGAATTAAAGTTAAAACGTAATTGAAAAGAAAAAAAAGACAACAACAAACTCACCCTCCTGGAGACGATAAACGTAGCTGCGCCTTCCACTTAGAGGAATGTAAAAAAATAAGATTGAATTTTAATAATGTCCACAAGTGGTAGTAGTACGTATGGTTCGTATTCGTACGATGTAAAGAAAATATTTTTTGTTAATATCTTCTAAGGGGTTTTTTTTTAATATTTTCCTCTTTTTATCTTCTTCAAATCGATATTGCACGTAAATATTTATATATTTTTTTTTATTAATTAAAGAAATTTTTTTTGAATTAAATATCAACAACAATTCCGTATTTTGTTTTATAGTGAGACAAGAGAACGTTTCTCTTTAATCTACCTTCACGAAATGCGGCTGGCCAGTGCCACATCTGAGATTCTAAAGACCCAACTCATACTACCACGTCACAAAAATGGCGCTACGCGCGCTCTCTCTGACGGTTTACCGTTTAACTACGTCATCATTGACCAATGATAACCTTTGTGATCACACCGCTAACCAATCGAAACGTTTAAGGGATACCACCTACGGGGGAAATTGACACGTCATTCTTGGAATACGATGATGCGAAATATCGACGCGATAATTTTCTATTTTTCTCTTTTTCTTTTTCATTTACGCACCGTAACGACTTATCACGTGTTTATGCTAATAAATGTTCATTTTTTCTATCTTTCTTTTTTTTTTAACTTTCTCTCTATCTATCTATTTCTTTTTTTTCACTTTCTTCTTATTTCTTCTCGTAACATTATTATTTTCTTTTTGATTTATGTTCGTTAGTTTTAGTCCTCCACTTACTTACCATTCTAAAACGTTTTATTGCTGTATTTTTGAAAGGAAAATTTTTTTTTGTTCTTTTACAGTATTGATAAATTTTCAACTTTCATCACTTTATATCTCGTTCTTTTTCTTTTTTTTATATTTTCAATACGCGTCAACTTCAACATTCCATTTTTATTTGAATTCCATCGACCGAGTTATTTATTTCGAAGAATTAAATTTAGGTTAGGATGATATACGTTTAGAAAACAATGAATGTATTTAAGGAAAAAGAACTATATATATATATATTATTCGTATCCTGCTATTTGTTTGTTATTGTTTGAAGTTTTCGTAATTGCTATGTATACATAATATACCTACTTCAAATCGACGGATATACTACGTTAAATTATTTCATTACTACGTAGTTCAACTGTTCTTGTGAAATAATAAAACCAAAATTTAGGAAATAATTTCTTTCGAATAAAATTAAATTTGCCAGTAATATTTACTTTGATTTAACATAAAATAAAATTTTTTTCAAAAATGTAATGTATAAATGTATTATATATATATATATATATAATATGTATAAAAAGAATGTATACCTAAATTTAGAGAGAAAGTATAGAATTTGATCGAAATAGTACTCTTTCGTAATCTTCTATAAACAAGTTTGTATGTTAAAGACTTTAGAAATGAATAAACAGCATAATTTAAATTATGAAGATCGACTAAAGGTATGCGAAAATTTGGTAACCAAAAAAACCCAGGCTGAACGATCCGTGAGAAAGAATGTGATGAGGAAAAAAAAATGATAATGACTCACGTATTGGTACAATCTGGTTTTGCTCCCACAGAATATTTTCTAAGGGTGATTTTTGAAAAATAATTGTTCGATATATTCTTTTCAGTTTCTTATTGCTATTATGACTGAAAATTATGAAAATGCTATGAAAATTGGCACAACAGGTAAAATTTTGATTCATACACTTAACCTTTAAGTTTTGATATTATTTATTTAGAGATAATTAATGATACTTATCTTAGTAATTAGATTGAATGTGATTAATATACTCAAAATATATTTTTTTTTGATTATACAGTTTTAAAACAGAACCCAAATGATCTAAGGGTATCAAAAATTTTATCTGCTGTTAAAGATAAAATCGGTAAGTGTTATATCAAATTTCTATGAAAAAGTAAAAGTATTTTTATACAAATTTATTTCATAAAAGCTATAATTACGTTATATCATTTCAAGTTATAGTCAAATTATCAAAATAATTATAAGATTATAATTGTGTTAATTTTTATATCATAATTATAAGAAAAATAGGCTACGTGACTATAAAATTTTTAATCACTATGATAAAGTATACTATTTATACACTGTATAATTATTTTCTTAATATAATTACTTTTTTTTTGTTCGTTTAATTTCGTAAAAATATTCATCTAATCTTATCATCCGTATGCGTATTTCGTCGGACTATAAAATTATCGATCGTGTATATGTGTATATATACAGTAACTAACAAAAATATTGGCACGGACTAAATTTTCCTATAATCATACTTTACGAAATTATAAGTACGAGAGATTCTCAATTTTATTTTATTTTATTTTTGTCAAATATCTCTCAAAACAATCTAAAATTTAAGTATATTACAAATCACGGAAAATAAATTGATAAAAAAACCTATCAAAAAATAACAACATGACTCGTATTTAATTAAAAAATAATTTCAACTATTAAAAGGTCATATTTATTTAATCTCTGTGATTTTTAATGTATTTAAACATTAAATTTGGATGATTTACTTAATCAAAAATATTAATTAAAAAATCGTAATTTTATTTTTAATAAATTACAAGAAAATCTAATTCGTGCCAATACTTTTGTTCGATACTGTATACATAGAGACATATGTATATATATAGCTATATCTTTTCGTGATTTCAAGTACCATTTTTTCCGAGAATCACCGTTGTATGTTAGTTCGTGATTATATAAAACACACACACTCTTACACATAAACCCATGCGCCAGAATGTTTAAGGCAAACATACACAAGTATGATATATACTTGTATGTGTTAATATGTGTAGGCGTGTCTAGAGAATCGGTTGAGAAGAAACGACTTATGACGTTTCTGTTAATTTCGTATGCGTCGAACATGTTATATTTCTATTGTTAGCAGTAAACAGTCTGGCAGAGTCTGTCGCCAGTGATTCGGATGAAGATATTATTTCCAATGAAGTAAATATGCAAATAAATATCGACACGAACGATCTTGATTTTGATATGAACGATGAAAAGAAGAATTCAATTGATACAAAGCAGAATTATCAGAAATTAAAATCGGTACCATCATCATCGCAAAATTTGTCTGATTGTATTAAAAAATATCTTCTATCTCGTATCGGTATGGAAAAGAAATCAGAAAGTTTTGTATTTCAAGAAAAAATGTATCGAGTAATACCTATGAAAATAAATAGAAATTAAAATATTATTTTTAACTCTTATCTCAGCGTTTATTAAGAAAATGCTACTCATGTTTGTATAACAACATTATATAATAATTTCCCTAGACTCGTGTTAATTTGATTATAAATTATGACTACTTGTATTAAATTTAATGTTTCGTTATTTATACATACATACCTATAAGTGTGGGAACGTATATACGTATATACAACGTATGAATATATAATAACTTTTCAAGTGGTTGTATGTTAGTATTGAAGATACACTAGGTAGAAAAAAAAACGTCACAAAAAAACATACAAAATCGTATAATTAACAATTTAATTTTTGAAAGTCTACATTATTTAGTTTATGGTACACGTTATATCCTATTCAAATTGAACAGGATGATAATTAAACTTATTTTATATTTTATGAGTGATTATGATTGATTTTTTATTCTTTTTCTTTTTTTTTGTTAAATACACATAAAAATACATGAACAAATAAACAAGACGTGAGGTTTGTCATTTAAAATGAATTTCTTAGATATTTTATATAACAATTCTCGTTCGTTTTGTTCCTGTATTTTTTTTAAATTGAAAGAAACAAAAAAAAACTTCTCTTCTTCATTGAACACACACACTTCGTTATACAACGTTCGAACGTTTTTTTTTTCTTTTTTTTTCGATTAATGAATAATAATAATAATAATATAAGGTAGTATGCTTAGGTATCTATTATATTACAACGTAATACATTATTTATAATAACAAAATATATAAATTCACTTATATTTATAATGACAGTTTAACATTACAAATACACACACTCTCTCTTTCTCTCTCGTTCGCACCATTTTACTCAAAATATAGGAGTTAATCAAGAGTGTGGGTGTATGTTATGTTCGCGCGTGCTTCTTACTTATCATCTAATTGGTATTAAATTACAAAAATTACAATCTCTTTTTTTTACGTAGTCTCTTTGTTTCATTTTCATTTATTATTAACTCGTGCGACTTATCTTTTAACGCGAGAGAAAAATAAAAAAGAAAATGATTAATCGATGGTTGGTGATTGATGACGATGCCGAAACAACGATCGTTCAAATTAATAATCGTCGTTTCGGGATCCCGATTAATTTCACTTCTTTCCCTTTCCTCTTCCCCCTCACCGTAAATCAAATACGCACTTTTAATAGTAATGTCACACAAGTGTTGTTATACTTTTTTTTATCCACATGGGTCATGTTATTTAAATAAAACAGAAATACGATCATTTTTCTTCTTCTTCTTCTTCTTTTTCTTCTTTTGTGTCATGGATGAATACACCGATGATACAACCCGTGGGAATCACTCGTTGCAAATACGTCGATCGATGATCGTTCTTTCCTTTTGTTTTTTTTTTTTCATTTTAATAATTTTATCCCCGTTTAGTTTAATTTTCGTCCTAGGTAGGAAGATAATAAATATAATTAACGTGACCCATATTATAGACATCCGAGTTAATAACTTGTTTCCCTTCTCCAGTCTTCCGGGGACCGTGTGTTAGTGTGCATTAACTTGAACATTTTTTTTCTTTGTAAAATTTGTTGTTTATTATGTTTTTTTTTGTTCTTTTTTTCTTTCTCTTTTTCTCTCTTTTTCTTTCTCTTACTTTCTCTCACCGTGTGGGACAGGGACGACGACTCACTGACCTTCGCTGTCACTATCACTCTTGTCTGGAAAATAAATGTTCCTTCGTCACTAATGTTAAACATGGCAAATGTTGATTTGGCCGAGCTAGAATTTGCGTAGAGTAGATTTTTTTTTTTATTTTTTTTTATTTTATTTTTTTTATTTTTTCGAGTGAGCTTAGCTCTTCAGTGCGGTAGGATGAGAGAAATGATCCCTTTTTTGTTATTATTATTATTATTATTATTATTATTTTGGTCTAGTAATATAAGTATTGCAATATTTCGGCTTTTTTTTTATAACGCTAATTATTAGTGACAAAAGTTAAGTGGTCGATCCGCCAGTATGTTGAATTATTTTATTTTATATATATATTGTATATATATATATGTATGTGGATTTATATATATTATATATGTTTTAATTTTGTATTTTATTTTATTTGTTTTATATATATATATATACTTTTCTGCGACCAACGAACCCCTGATGTCCATTTTTTTTTTATTTCAAATTGGTTCAATGTGTATCTGCATTCAAACTTGTACCTTTCTTCCCTGGATACGCGTGACGCTTCAGCCTATCGTACAGATCATCCTTCGTGCCGTATATACTTGCATTTGAACGAGCTAGACTGTTCATCTTTCCCCCATTGTGTAGACTTTCTGTAAATAAATAATACAAATATTAAGTATATCATATTAAATAAAAATATATGGGTTGGCAATTAAGTGATTGCGGATTTTATCGATAGATGACTTTTTAACCCTTAACGCTCCGACGGTAATTTGTGGTTATCTACCAGCAACTCCAACTTGTTCTACAATTGGAATAAAGTGCTGTACATCGGTGGTGTCTGGAAGGCACACTTGGAGTAGAACGCTGCTCGTTGATGGTGCCTAGGAGGCACACTTGGAGCGTTAAGGGTTAAAATCAGCAATGATTTAGTTGCCAGCCCAATATAATAAATGTATTAACATTTTAATGGCCGCACGTGTACGAAGTCAAATGTCACCATGGGCCGGTAATATTTTTAAAGAAATAATTTTAAAAAAACTTTATTAAATTCAACAACAATTTAGCAATGAATTTAATTTTATATAATTTTAGATATATAAAGTTATAAATGAATATCAATAAAAGTTGTTTTCCTCTAGCTATCACACACACATGTTGAATGAGCAACCATTAAAGTGTTAATCTAATACATACTGACCTTTCATATAAGTTTCGTTATAAAAATTAGGCATTTCCCAGCCATCTTCTTCATCGTCATAGTAATGTGCATAAGTGCTGTGATGAGACGGTGCTATAGATTCAGCATAAGGTGTTGGTGCACCGTAATAGAAGTTTACTTGAGAACCATTTTGATCGGTTGCTGGAGTTAACATTTTCTTAGGTTCCTTTTTACGTGATGCTCTATAAAAAATATTTCTCGTAAGACGATAATTATAATAATACAAATTGTTTATTATTTATTATTAATTTATAAACTGACCTAACACATATCATCCAGACCAATAGAACAACGAAGATTATGAGAATAACTCCTCCTGCTATACCACCGGTAATATAGAAGAATTCCGATTTTTCAGTGCAATGTTTGCCAGTGAAACTACCACTACACCTGCAAGATGGTTGTCCTCTGGAATCTTTCACACATAGACCCTCGTTGTCGCAATATCCCATACAAACATCTGTACATTCCGTTCCGGTACCGTTATATCCAGGTTTACATTCACATTTGAAGTCACTTGTTTCTGGTATGAGTAAACAATATGCATTGGCGTCGCAATGCATTTCTTCGCCACTAGTTTCACATGGGTTCGTGCAATCGAATTTGCTGGTCTGTAATAAATCGTATTGGTATTGTGTAAATGACTTAATTGGTTTGCATAAATCCATTTTAAATTTAAATTTATATTAATTGATACTCACTGCTGCTGGTCCTTTGGTACTGGTATTAGGTGGACAAGGTATACAGAAGGTTTGTTGAGGTTCCGATTGATAAGTGCCTTTTTTACATTGTACACATTCATTAAGTGTACCATTCAAATGAGTACCAGGTTCACAAACTGGTAAAGAACATTCTTCAATAGCTGCCGATCCTACATTCGGGGTTGTTCTACCAACTGGACAAGCTTGGCAAGATGCTTGAACACCTTGCGTTCGATAGGTACCTCTTGGACAGGGTTCACATTTGCCTTCAACAGCTAACTGTTGTCCTGAACCACATTCGTCTCTGCATTCCTCGCGAGAAACAGCTTCTGCTGTCCTGGTAGTTTTTCCAAGACCACATAGCAAACAAGAGAAACTACCCTCGTTAGGTTGATAAAATCCGTGTCCACAGCTACGACACAAACCGGCGGCATCGTCGTAATATTTTCCAGCTGGGCATCTTTCTTTACAATCTGCAGCACTTCGTGCACCAACTCCAACAGTTACGCTAGGTCTACCAGCAATTACAGGACATGAACTACATTTTGTTCGGCCGGATTCACTTTGATAGGTGCCGACGGGACAGGAAACACAACGTTGAGTTTCTTCTTCGTAATAGGTGCCCACTGCGCACGGTACTGTACACAGAGCAAAGTAGTATTGTTTAGAAGAATAATTAACAAATTGATAAGGATTTTATTTCAAAATATAATAATAATAATAATAATAATAATAATAATAATAATAATAATAATAATAATAATAATAATAAATTTATTTACCACAATCGGGTGCCATTACAACTTGACCAACTGGACAAGCATAATCGGACTTCAATGTCAATGATGCTGGGTCTGGTACCGTGTTAGGTAAAATGTCGTGTACGTCAAATTGATCTTCCTCGAGTATAAGTTTTTCAAGTAAGGATTGTACAGTAGCTCGTTCATTAGAATTGGCATTCAGTATGGGATCGCTACAAATAAAGGAGTGGAATGTTATTGATCGATACGTTGCTTGAATGAAGTCACATAAAACGGGTATAGCAACAGGCATAAAGGGTAATATGTATGCGCCAATATATACAGCCGTTATTGTTTTCAGGCGATCGTTCGTTTAAACAAAACGAACAACTCTTGGTTAAACTCATCTCACGGGATAAGCGTGCCTCAAGCTAACCTGCCATTAGTGACGATTAATTACAATTATTATCCTACGTTTAATTAGAAAATTCGATGACATTCTGAAATTTGTATAAATTTGTTATTTTAAAATATACATGTATACATATTCATATTATTTATATATATAAAAGTAATAGGGAAATTTCGGTGCAGATTTGTCTATTATTTAAATGACTATCGAAAAAATGGTTGGAAATAGAAAAGTGTAATTATAATACTACTATCTATTGTATCACCTATTGAAAAAA